CGAAACCCGGATTCTAGCGTTGTAAGTCCTCAGACATACCGCTGTGCCACTGGGGGGCTCTACTAAGTCTAAAAACATCATTGTTAACCATAACATAAAACAAACCCTTTAAAATTACATATGTTGAAATCAGGAAAAAAAAACTTCAACAATAAGCAAAATATGATCATATAAAACATATACTTTTACACAAGAATACTATTAAAACAATTAAAAAACTCATATAATGATATGTAAAAAGGAATGATTGCCAAATATTTATGATTAAAAATACAAATGATTAAACAAAAACTTAATCATGTTGATAACTTGCAACAGGAACAAAATACAGATTACAAAAGTTTCCTAAGAAACTAGAGCTTCTTACCTATTGAAGCTCTTCATTAGCAGGACCTCAAACATAGCAGTCAATTTACAGTGATTTAGGACAGTCTGGCAAATGATCTCTCAGGCCTTTGTTAGGGCCTTACAAAACTGTGACAACTCATCCTAAAATATGCACACCTCTTTCTACGGTTGCAAAGGAGGCTTTCAATGCTTAAAAAATGGTCTTCCTCACAGTTCTAAGCACTCATGTCTCAGTCCATCTGGCTGCTTGCTTATGGCAGTGGCACTTTAGAGTTGGCATCTGCTGAAGTTTTGGGTGCTCTTTTATTTAAGATAGCAGTGTAGACAGCAGATCCAGTTTCTTTGACCATAATGGTTGGGTCCTGTACTGTTTTGCTAGCAGCAGAAAAGGAAATGACTTTGACATTCTCAAGTTGATGTCTTGAGTCACCACTGTTAAGTAGACATTGGAAGACCTTCCCTGAACTGTGAAGATCTCATCAAAGGTTTTATCTTCAAGAAGGTTTTCTTGGGCTGAAATATATGATGGTTTTGTTGAAGATGTGGGTACATTGGTTTTCAACTATGTTTCTCAATGGATCAACACCTGATGCCTGGTAGATACTTCATGATCATCCCTTGGCTTCATGACATCTCCAGTTGTTACTGGTGTTGTCATCATTGGCTTTGTGATGGATGACCCATGCTTCAACATATGCTCAGCTTCAGAAAGTGGTGTAGTTCTCTGTCCTACAACTTTCCTTAGAAACAGAATGCTAAACCTATTTCCATGGTCAAGTGACATTCTTACAGGTTTACTTGTATTCACATGTATCTCACCTGTCACACCTACCTAAATTCAACTGCACTCTCCACTGTTGCCATTCCAATGACAACAGCTCATAGCAACCCTAAAACACAGCCATGTTCTTCTCACTACTAGTCTGATTGTTGTTAAACAAAGCCAATAAGAAAGAAATAGGAGATGAGCCTGCAGACTCTAGTTTCTACCTAATCTAACTACAGTATGTTAGCTACCACACAGGAGCTAATCTTGTTCTTCTGATCAGGGAAATTGATGAACACCAATATCTTGTTTCTTTCAGATACAATCTTAGCAGTACTATCATCACGTGACAATAAATTTCTATACAATCTTAGCATAGCTAAAAGGCTACTACAAAGCAATACCACAGGGATGTTACTTTTTGCCTATGGCTGTAGACTCACAATCTGCACTTTCATGCATTTCAACTGCACAATGTTAAATGTTTTAACAATGTTAAAAAAATATTCAGTAAAACTGCATGATTGAAAGTTGGTTATAACCAAGTTCAACACTGGATGTACCAAATTAATATTTTGTGATATGGTTACTGATTGTTAATTTCATTCTCTCTCTCTATCAATAATTTCACATACTCATGAACATTTCAATATGACTGAATTGAAATATTACTCGCTACTGCTACCAAAAACAACATATGCAACACCACACACATATGTTCATTTATATGCATATAATGTTATACACATATGTATCTTGTGTCATATACACTAGTAGCCGTTGATAAACTGCCTCCAGCTCTTGTACCATTACTAATGTAACCTACACATGCTAGCCCTGCTACCACCTATGAGCTGTTAAGCTCAACATGTTTTCTCAGCATTATAAAATAAGTAGAAACCAGTAGAATTCAACTGAACTAAGACTTTTCAGCTACAATTCTTGCAGCCAAGATTAATATTCATGCTGTTGCTACAGTATATATTAATATACACTAAGACTAACCCAGGCTAAATACAATACTCTACAATAAAATACATTTACAGCTGCCAACACTAGTAGCCAAACAATCAAGACAGTATCAATGTAGAAGAGTTGATCCACTCATTACAGATGGGATCATAGAAAATTAAATCAGTAAATTCAATAAAAGAACATTTATTAAATTTGGATTTATTAGGTCGTCAAGAAATTAATGTTGATTTTTTTTAGATGAAAAAACCCGAACAACTTGTATATAAAAACAAAACATTTATTAAATGAAATAGTCTCCATTCTTATCCATGATGCTTTTCTATCTTACAATCAGGTTGTTAATGTCCTGATTAAAGAAGCAAAAAATGTGTCAATGTCTTCTTTAACACCTTCCACATTTGCATACGTTTTCCAATTAAGATGGTGTTGCAGCGAACGAAAAAGATGGTAATCTGATGGTGTCATATCTGGAGAATATGGTAGGTGGAGAACTTACCAACCCAACTCCATAATCTTTATTTGCATCAAACGTGCCGCATGTGAACATGCATTGTCGTGGAGAAGAACACCTTTCCGATTGACGAGTGAAGGGTGTTTCTGATGAATGGCTTGATTTAAACGTTCCAGTTACTGACTATCTCTGCATTGACAGTTCACTGTGGATTGAAGAATTTGAAATGAATTACTTCTTTGATGTCCCACCCAAATACAAAGCATCACTTTCTGTGGATGGAGTCCAGGTTTTGGAGTTGGAAATTGTTTTTGTCTAGGACTGAGCCATTGTTTTTGGCATTTAATATTCACATAGGGAATCCATTTTTCGTCACCATGGAGTCCAGGTTTTGGAGTTGGAAATTGTTTTTGTCTAGGACTGAGCCATTGTTTTTGGCATTTAATATTCACATAGGGAATCCATTTTTCGTCACCGGTGACAATTCTGTCCAAAAATGGTTAACGCACTTTATGCCCCAGAAAAGAGGAAGCAACGTTCACACGTTGGAAACGATGATCATCAAAGAGTTCATGAGGCACCCAAACACTTTCTTTAAGGAGTTTTCCCATATTCCTTAGATGTTTACATATTGTTTCATGAGAAACATGCAATTTCAGGGCCATTTCAGGAGTGTGTTGCTTTGGGTTAGACTCAACAAGCGTCTTCAGAGCATCAATATCAATTCCAACATGTCGGCCCCTGCCTTCACAGTTTTTAAGGCTAAAGTCACCTGAACGAAATTTGCTGAACCATCGTTGACAGGAATATTCAAAACATTTCCATAAACTTCTTTGATATTCTTTGTGGCTACAGAGGCATTGTTTCCCTTCTTGTAT